TATAAATGTAGGCTCATAGATCTATTTCCCTATCCTCATATAATATATTTGTATATGTACATGTCTTTATCTAGAGCTCTATAAATACCCTTTGCCTCCAAGCTCTTCCTCTATTTCCATTGATTCTCCTCCTGTCCCACTATCATGCTCAGTCCCCAATAATTGTAATGCATTCATCATTATCAGTGTATAATAAAGTTTAAGTAAATTTTAGTAGCCCATGGTGAGCAAAAGAAAAGTTATATAAATGAATCTTGTTACATATTTATATATCAGAGATTGTAGATACAATTATGGGGACAAAGATGTAAAGATAAAATAAGAAAATTCCTATTAGCATGGTCAGCAATTCACAACCTTTTAAAAATATAGATCTACAAATTCTTATTCACAAAATATAAAAAAGTAATATGAGTCTATTGATAGTGCAAGTGCCAGACTCCTAGCTGACATAGTGGCAGTTTGAACCCACTAAGAGGCAGCGCACAAGGCAGTCCTGGACTCTGCTCTGAAAGGTCAAGGTCTTGAACACTCTAGGGAACAGTTCTACTCTGCATGCAATGGTCTCCTGGAGTTAGAATGGACTCTACAGTCAGTAATCACAAAAGTAAGATAAGAGACAAAATGTATCTTATAACGGTACGACCATGAATGGAAAATGGCGAACACTTCACTGAGCAGTTAGGAAAAGGTATGTTAAATGATTTACAATTCTTGTCAGAAGATATCTTGAATGTCAGAAATCCTGTCTATTTAATTCAGTGCTTAATATCCTATAATACTATCTAGATCTGTAAAAGATGTTTCCTATGTGAGAGGACAAGAGAAAAGATATATCATAGTTAGAATTTATTTATATTTGATAAATTTATTCGGTCTATACTGATATGTTAAAATATGAAGCAGTTTTAGTTACATTAGATTTTCTGTGAAATGACTTCCTTCAGCACTCTTCACAAACACTCTAAACTATTAAAATTAAAATTGAATTTAAAATTTACACTTGATTTCCAAAGATTATCTATTTATTGAAAAAAATCCTTATTTCTAAAGCAAACAAACAAACCCAAACCATTATCATTGTGCCCATTCAGACTCCTACTGAGGCTAGTCAAGATCTCTGAGACCTAATGTTTAAGGATCAGGCAGCCTCATTTGCCCACCATGAGCTGCCGGTGGGTTTGAACCACTGACCTGGAAGTTAATAGCCTGTTACTTACTCCCAACACTTCTAGGGAAGGACAATTGAATTATTTTGGAATTCCAAACTAAGTTCACCCATATTTGTGTGATCTATCCATTTATCTATTCATTTGGTCTTGGATTTCAACTTTAAGTTATTATTCCTTTTTGAACCACCATATCTATTTTCTTTCTTTAAACTTTCAACAGTATTCTAATTTCCATTTTCTATTGTGCTATGTAGAAATTGGCATAGCTTATTGTAGAGTCGATTTTACCGCTTGAGGTACATTTCAGCAATCACCTTTTATACCGTCCTAACTTATTTGAAAGAATGAAGCTGTGGAAGTTTAAAGTTCTTATTCAGATTTTCATAGGATAAGCTAGAGTTAAAAAATTTCACTTCTGTTCTACCGAATGCATTGCTAAAAACTAAACCAACTCATTACCAAAGAGTTGATTCTGACTCATTGTGACCCTATAGGACAGTTTCTCAGACCGTGTCTCTGGAGGACTGGCACACCTGTCTTTCCACTGAGGAGCGGCTGGTGTTTGGAAATGCTGGTCCAAATTGTAACCACTACATAACAAGCATTCCTTTCGAACCTTTAAAGGTTCCTTTAAAACCCTGGTGTGTTTTAATTCTATGTTGTGTATCTACATGCAACTAAATGTTTATACTGATTCTCTTTAAATCACAATATGACTTGATATGGACTAAGTTGATATTGACATCACACATCGTCATATTGAAGGAGTTCTAACGGTGCTACACGAGAGTTCAGTGGTTGGAATCCACCAGTGGCTTCTCAGGAGAAAGGGTGACAATCTATGTTTATAAAGATGGACAGCCTTGGAAACACTATAAAACAATTCTACATGGTCCGACAGAATCACTACGAATCACCCTCAAATAGAGATACCATCAATTAGGTTACTCAGAGAATGGCGATGCCACTGAAAATCTAATGCTCTCACCACTGGTCCTGATGATGAAAGTGGCGATACCGGGAGGGTGCAGGGAGGGTGGGGTAGAAAGGGGGAACTGATAACAAGGATATACCTATAACCTCCTCCCTGGGGGATAGACAACAGAAAAGTGGGTGAAGGGAGATGTCGGACAGAGTAAGATATGACAAAATAATAATAATTTATAAATTATCAAGGGTTCATGAGGGAGAGGGGAACGGGGAGGGAGGGGGGAAATGAGGATCTGATCTCAAGTAGAAAGCAAATGTTTTGAGAATGATGGTGGCAACAAATGTACAAATGTGCTTGACACAATGGATGGATGGGTGGATTGTGATAAAGTTGTGTGAGCCCCTAATAAAATAATTAAAAAATAAAATAATTTAAAAAAATCTAATGCTCCTGAGGGTACTGGTGATGCCCTTCAGGTGGGTCATTGCAGAGTAAACTCAGCGGGCTCTCGTGTTGAGTTATGCTATTGATCAGCCACTTCTGACCATAACCACTTCAGCTTACTGTAGGTTCCATATTAATGTTTTACCACACTGATAGAATGTTGGAGAATAATAGTATTATTTCTCTGTATTTATAGCAAGAACATGCGGATCCAACCTGCGAGGACCCAGTGGTATCATTACATCCCCCAATTATCCAGTCCAGTATGAAGACAATGCACACTGTGTCTGGGTCATCACTACCACAGACCCTGACAAGGTAAGGCCTTCGGTTCCTTCCACTAGTTCATGTAATCAACGCACTGGCTCTCTCCACTGTTGAAGACAAACAACCAGGGAAGTGGCGTGCATTCCTGAATGTGTTGTTTCAGTAAAAGCGCTCATCGGGCCTTGTGTGCATTTATATTCACAGGGAGCTGAAGCCTTTCTGAGACTGCGTGATAAGGCGAGTGAGAACGCTCAGGATGGTCGCTTGCTACTCGCTCTCAGGCTATGGTCAGGAGTTCATATATTTAACAATTTTGCATAGTTTCCATCTATCTCAACACAGGTCTCTAATATCATGTCTGAAGCATTCTTAAGGATCACCGAATCTCTGCAATATGGGACAATATTAGAAATGCTAAACTATTAGATTTTCAAAATCTAGAAGAAAAGTCCTGATATTTTTATTCATTAAATTGTTCTTCGTGGCTGTTTTCTACTATTTTTTTATTATACTTCTAGAAGCCCAGTTTTTATAGATATCAAAACAAAACCTTTGAAAAAAAGAACTTCATTTTTTACCAGTGTGATATACAGGTTTTTCTCGTGAAAACTGAGTAACTGCTAAGCTAGCCAATGATTTGAAAAAAAAGGCTTAGTTTTGTTTTTCAGCTACTGCTATTTGTTAAAGCTGTGTTATGCATTGGGTTAGCCATTACACTGATATAAGCTGTATTTTCTTCATATGTTAGTCAATTGATTATTTATTCAGATTTTTAATGAGGGATCTACATTTTGTCAGATGAGATAGTTGTCTCTGTAGACACCATGTCTACCCCTGAACTGTTGTGTGAACTTGGGATAATTAACTAACTTTTATGGGCTTTATATTTTTCATCTGTAAGGATTTGATAATATTAATCTTAGAAATTTTTTGTGAAGACTAAAGAAATCATTCTGTGTACCTAAGTGCAAGAAGCTTTTAGGATTAACAGTAATTGTATAAAAAAAAACAAAATAATAAAACATATAACTAATTGATAACCATTTAACTATATTATCTTGATCTCTAGAAAACTGAATATGAGAATAATTCAAATGTATTGCTCTTAGGACTCCATTTAACACATTGTCTTAGGCTGGGTTCTCTTGCTCACACAGTTGTAGAGGTGGGTAAATTCCAAGTCTGTGGGTCAAAATTCAAGCTGGAGCCTTCTCTTGGTTTGAGTAATTGCAAGGGCTGATCAACCCCAGTTCAGCAGGTCAGACAAGGGTTTCTGACTACTGTAGCAAACCAATCCGAGGTCTACAGGAAAAATGGCAAGCTGGTGACAACTTCTGGGATCAGTAGGACATTGGATGAAGGCCAAAGAACCAGAGGTTCATGAGCCAGATGCTTGATCCAGAACCAGAAAAGAAGCAAGCAAGGTTTTACAAACAAACATCCATTTATACTAGAAGCAGACCACATGCCCCAGGAAAAATTTTTCCAATGGATGGGTTGCTTATAGCAGATCTCATCATGGTTATTATCACATAATGTGAGATCTCATCATGGGGAATTTGGTACCTCTTAGCTGCCAGACCACAAAGAACTCTGGACCAGACAAGTTAACACAAAACATGAACTATCACACTCTTGCACTGTTTATTCTCCCCACACACCCTGCAAAAAAAAAAAGTCTAAATAAGTCTCTGTAATAACTGGAGGGCTGCAGACAAGTTCTGTCAGGAGTCCCCTTAAAATGCCTTCCAGAAAAACAAGAAATAAGGTCCATGCAAAACAGGAATTTCCTTGAGGTCAGTAAAATTTCAGGCAGAGAGTTCAGCTCATAAGATTGTGGGGACAGTGGGATTTGTCCTGATAAATTTTCTTGGAGAGTACAGGACAGATGTAAAGTTTCACTGTTAAGAAGTTTGCAACCAATTGAAAATTGTTAAGAAAAACGCCAAGAAAATTGTGCCAAATATTTTTTTCCCATTTTGTAAATATACCTGCTCATTCTTCAAAAGTGTCAAGGGGTGTCCGATGAGAGGTTCTTTTGTTGAGAAAACTCCAAATGTACCTTACTGTCCTGATCTTACCCCTTCAGACTTCACTTTGTTCCCCAAACTCAAAGTACATTGCAAAGGCACACAGTGTAAGTCCCGTGAGGATGCCCAAAGTGTTTGAGCTTGCTGTAAATTGACAAACACAGAATTTTTCAGGGAAGTGTTAAAGAGATGCAAATATTACCTTTGAAAGTGTATTGACATAGATGAGGGATAGATCAAGAAACAATTTCACATTTTGATATTTTTGTATAATGCCTCTTCTTAAAATCTTTTATCCTTTTATAAATAGGGAATTTTGAAAAGTTCTAAAGGTTAGAATGTGACACTTTATATAAAGGAGGGCATTTTAAAGCTATTGGATTTGTTTAATTTGGGGGATATATCTGGTGTTTAGTTGAACTAATGATAAATAGACCACAATCCTATCTATCTTCGTGGCTCAGTCATCCACCACCTGGGAACCAATTTTCAAGCATACATTTGGTCTATGAGAGTTAACACCTTTGAGTTACCCTTAACCAATTGGGAATTTGTCAATGAATACTACTCTCTTCTCTGTTTTAAGCATGCTTTTTGGAGTACCATCTTAACAGCTCTGCAAAGTACATCCAGTAGCACTAGGACAAATATGCACAGAGTCACCAACTCATCTAGGACTGAGGTTTCTCTCCATCCCTTTGTCTGACTTTTCTTGTGGTTCCTCAACTAAATGGGCTAGAAGAAACCACTTTTCTCAAGACTTGCTTTGGGGAAAAGTCCATGATAAAATAAACATTAACATTAGGAGTAATGTACTTTTTCATATAAGCCTTTCCTATTGAGAAGAAGAAACTACACAATGATAGCGTTTTAGAAGATGAAGTAGGAGACAGAGTTTGGAATCTGCTACAACGTTCCAAGTGAGAGGTAATGAAGTCGGAAGGGGAACAGGTGCAGTGCAAATGTATAAAGATAGAGACTTGGTGAAATCTGGTGACTACTGAAGTGTGGTGAGGGAAGGAGATGAGAGATGGCTGGGGGGCACTCTTGTTTCTCCTTTTTGGCCTTATAATCCACATGTCTTTGCATTGTGGCTACACCTAGTACATATTGTAACTCGCTAGAAAGAGGAGGCCTTGGGAATGATTTTGAGGTAGGAAAAAGAAGAGTGTAGTCTTTACTTGAGGGAGGGCAGATCCAGCCTTCCCAGAAATCAGAGTCCAGAATTGAGGTCCCTATCGTGTACCACTGAGTCAGAATGGGCTCAATAGCAGTGAGTGAGAGGCCGTTAGATGTCTGAAATGAAGGGTTCCATTTCAGGGGAAAGATTTTTTCTTCTTGGGGACTTGGAGGAGAGGCCTTTTTCTCTTCATTTTCAATTCTTTGCATTCTGGATAGTCAAATCCCTCTCCAAATTGTATAATAACAAAGTAAGGAAGAGATACAGTTTACATATTTCTCTTCTCTCAGTTTTAGAAGTTTGATATATCTCTATATACATAAAGGTATCTTAAAAATATCAAGATTCTAAATATTTAAAATTATTTATTTAAATTACAGATAAAATATATGTACATTTTATGTTGTTTCAGAATTCTATTTGCCTATATTCACTTACTTCTGTGGGATTTTGAAGGAAGAAAAACCAGATATTGCAGGTTGATACACTACAAACATACGAATCCTCTTAGTTGAACACCACTTAGACACCTGAAGGCATCTCAATTAAGCAGAATTACCATCCAAATTAAGCAGCAGTCTTTGCCATTAAGTATAATTAAGCTTAATTTGATTCCTTGGGAGACATTCCAAATAAACGGGTTTCCCGATTAAGCGCATGGTGATGATGGTATATTATATATTAAGCATAAGAGAAAAGAACAATCATATCAAGGTTTCCAAACAACAATGATTTGCCTGAGACTTCTGGATAAGAAATTTTGCTATTCCTCATTTGTGTGCTCAATTTGCTTTGCACATTTTTTAAGAAATAAGATGGAAAAAAGCACTAAAAAAGTTTCAATGTTATGCATAGATGAGTTAATAAATTGCTTTTCTTTGAAACACTCTTATTCTTCATGATTTTTATACTCTTTTTGGGGTCTTAATTCTGCTTTGATTCATAAAGCTGAATGATCTATATCAATTTATGCCAAATCTTAACATAAGATTACTCTCACACAGACATACCAAATTGATGTAAGAAGTTCAGTTGTAGATCATACATCTCTTATTGTAATATCAAGTTAAAATAAATATAGGATATCAAGTTAAAATACAAAAATACTGAACATTCATTTATTTTAAAAAATGAAATTTGTACATACTTTATAAGAGATACTAAAGAGAACATTTAAAAAATAGATTCCACAAGATTGGATTTATTGGAGAAGCATATTTAGAATCACTGAATCAGAAATGTTTTTCTATGCCGCTCAAATACAAGGTCAATAAGAATTAATACAATAAATTATGCTTACTTATATATTTCCACATTAGCTCATCCAAAAATCAGACGTCTCACAAATAAAAGTCTTGCTGAGTCATGCGATCAAATTATCTACAGAGTACTCTGTGAGACACAAATTTCAGGAACTGGAAGTGACTGTGGTAAGAGCTCATCTGCAGGGTTTTCAACGTTTGACGAGGGTGGATGTTTCAGAAAAGTCTGAGAAAGTGGATTTCACCACTTCTCTTATATTGCTATGGACTATAATCGAGAAGATTACTGATAAGAAAAGATTACAATTTTGATCTGAAAATAGCTTCATAGATGTTATAAGAATTTTCAAAAAATTCCAAAACGTTTTGTGAAATAAAGCAGGGAAGGGTAGTAGTGGAAACAGGCAGAAATGCAGAAATGAAAGTTCCGAGCCGAATAGGGCTGATTAGCTGAGACACTGGACCAGACTTGTCTGGTCGTCTCGCTGGACCACAGGGAGTGCACTTCTCTGCCATATACCCACTGTGTGATTTTGGCGAGCAATTTTTTTAACCTCAAGTCCAGTTGTCTTTGTTTGT